GGGTGCAGGTTCTGGGAGGCAGTTTGGGGATGGGAGGAGTGCAGAGGGAGGGTGTGCAGGGGGGAGGGCTGTGGGGTGTGGCTGCAGATGAGGGCTTTGGGGTGTGGGAGAGGCTCAAGGCGAGAGTAGGAGTGTGGGGAGTGAGGGCTCTGTCTGGGGCTGGGGGGGGTTGGAGTGTTAGAGAGGCTCAGGGCTGGGGCAGAGGGTTGGAGTGCAGGGGGATGAGGACTCTGGCTGGGACTGGGGATAAGGTGTTTGGGGTGCTGGAGGGGCTCAGGGCTAGGGTAGAGGGTTGAGGGTGCGGTGGGGGGGTGAAAGCTCTGTCTGAAGGTGTGGGCTCTGGGGTGGGGCAGGGCTGGGGATGAGTTTGGGGTGCAGGCAGGCTGCTCCGGGACAGGGGCCAGAGAGGAGGACTCCCCCCCCAGCCCTTTCCCTGCTGGCAGCAGCAAGCTCTGGGAGAGAAGCCCCCCTTTCTTGCCCCCCCCCAGCAACACACTCACCCCCACCACTGTCACTGCATGTGCTCCTAGGGCCCCTCTCAGGTCCAGGAATCTCCCGCACTTTCCCCGTGGTGGGTGCCGGGGGGTACTGTGTGCACCTCCTCCCCTGCTGTTGCCCCTGACTGTAGCCTCACTGTGGGTGAGGGATGGGGCTGCCTCCTTGCCCAGCATGAGGCAGGAGCGGTGACTGCGGGTGGGGGGGGGGCTGTGTTGCTGGAGGGACCCGCCGGAAAAGGGAAAGGTCTCAGGTGGAAGGGCACTCTCAGAGTCAGTCTGCCCTGGCAGTCGCGATGGGGGGCACTAGGACTCTGCTGAGAGGCAGCATGGAACTGCACAGAAGAGACAGTGATTCTCTGCTCTGGGGTCCCAGAAAGGTGAGCAGGGGCAGCAAGAGAGGGCTGGGGGACACTCAGGGAAGGTGTAGGGGGGGTGGCAGGTGGGGCCGGGGGGGACACCCAGTCCCAAATATTGGTGGAGCTGGGCTCCTGGGCTCTGAATATTGCTGATGCCCGGGCACCACGTGGGAATATAACTCGCCGCCTATGACAGCTTATTAACTTAACTGGGGTAACATGCTTCCCTTCAAGCGCAACACTGAGTTAATTTATTGTAAAAATAAAACAAGTTTATTAACCAAAGGGCACAGGTTAAGTGATACCACGTAGAAGAAATAAAGTTCGAAAAGGTTAAAAGCCAACAAAAGTAAAAATACGCTTTCTAATGGCTAACACTTAACATAACTACAGTCTTTGTTCAAGATAATTTCCTTGCTAGTCTTCCATTCCCAGAGACTTCAGCCCCATTGTTTGAAGGACCCATCTTTCTCAGTTTTCAAGAGCTCTGGTGTTTCATGTCTGTCTAGTGATGGATGGCTTCTCTCTCTTTATATTATCTTCCCAAACCCACTGTTTTGTCCCCAGACTCAGGATGACCTCATGCTGTTCTTCCCTTCTTGTAGATTTCCCATCCCCCTGATGATTCATATGTAAATTGGGCTTCCATTGTTTTTGATCACTGTGTCAGGGTGAACTAGGTCCGAGGCCCTGCATCACCCAGCCGCAGAATAGAGCAGTGAGAAGTCCTCAAGGCAGCCTAGAGTGGCTGCAGAAGAGCAGCCAATCCAAGGGGCTGCTGAAGCAACCAATAAGGGGCCAGAAGGGCCGGATAAAAGGCAAGCAGCAGAGTAAAGCCTTTAGTTGCTGTGTGGTGCTTGAGGAGGGAGGATTAGGTACCTGGCTGACTAGATGAGTAGTGGGCTATGGGCAGCTCATTGCAAAGAGGTCACTATGCAGAACTGAGCCCAGGGAAGACTGCTAAAGACCAGGTGCCTTGCTGGCTGGATAGAGTAATGACAGGACCGTGAAAAGGTCAGTGTGAGCAGGCTGAGCCCAGGGGGACTGAACTCAGGACCTGGCCAGGCCAGGTGAGGGTACTGAGTTGGACCCTGCAGGTCTGATTGCAGACTGAACCCAGGGACTGCTGCTGAAAAGGACACCAGCTGAGGGTACTGAGATGGGTCCCTACTGGGTGTCTGAAGAAGGCAGTGCCTCTGGGAAGGAGCCTTAGAGCTATGGCCCCATACCAGGGCTGAGAAAGATCTTGGACTGTATACCCTGGAAGGGGGGACAGTGTGTGTGGCTTGGCTGGAGGGCTGAGCTGCTGACCACTGGCTGAGAGAACCAGTGGTTGGGGCGGAGAGGAGGTGGTGCTTGTGAGAGGCAGGCGCCACCCTGATGTAAGACCAAAAAAGAAAAAGCCTAACACACCTAACTGAGATAAAGGGGGTCATCCATGAGAGATGGGTGCCCCCCCCTGTGAAAAGAACTGTTTGCCGGCACTATGCCCCAGAGAAGAGGGGTCACGCACGAGAGGCAAGTGCTGACCCCGTTACAGTAACATCTTGCTTAACTTCATTGAAGACTGGTAGATAGTGAGTATGTCAGGCCTGACAAAAGCTGCTGATGTGGAATAATGAGCCACAAATGGGCCTCTGTCTCTCAGCTCCCAGTTACTAATTCTTCATTTTATTTTAGGAAAATTAACAATTAAAAAATATATTTTTTTTTCCTGGGAGGTAGGTGGGAGACCAAGACTGGTTTTGTGTAAATTACAGTTCCGAATCACATTTAGACGTTTCCATTTCCTCAACTTTCAGCATTTTCATACAGGCTTTATCCTTAGCCAGGCAGCCCTGTGGCTCCAAAACATAGCGGAGCAGACCACTCCCTGGCTGCTGGTAGAACAGGTCTTGATCCATCCCCTCCCATTGGCAGGAATACTGGCTTCAGCCTATTACCATTTTGATGGTAAAATGTCCCCTGCAGTATTGGTTACTAGATAAACATGGCTCAGTTTGCATAGAAAATTTGAATTCCATCCCTTCTCACACATTGATACTGTATTTTTGGGCATCACATTTTTTAAAACTGGCAAGAAACCATTACTGTAGAGAGAGTGGATGGATAAGGGGACAATATGTGTTTCTCAGTTGATCTCAGAGGATCAGTTTCTGCCATTCCAAGCACTCCCATGATAATACAACTACCTGGTCCAGCTGCATGGCATTACCTGCAGCTTAAGCATCTGTTGAAGGACATATTTGGTCCCGATGCACTGGGAGCACCAGAGACTCCAAAATTGTTGCTGATGTGAAGAGAGCTCCATAGGGTCAGCCAAGCAGCTGAAGCCTGTTATGAATTCCTGGCTGAAAAGAATCTCCCTAATTTAGATTATCTGTTCCAGGCCTCGAACGCATATTTGTATATATCTCAAATCTTAGCCAATGGGGAGCTGCCTGGCAACACATTAATAACTCTACTATTGATCTACAATTAAGGCTGATCCAGCAGAAAATTTTATTTTGTTCACTCTTGTCCACTCCCACAATTACAGAGCATGGGCTTTGCCAAAACAAACCGCTGCTGGAGATGTGGGTCTCCTGGAGCCATGCTGGCTTCACATGTTTTGGGACTATCCCAGGATACAATACTTTAGCTAACAGTGGGCAGGAGGATTAATATGATAATGGATACCTCCTTAAAATTAAGTTCTCAGGATTGTGTTCTGGGACATATCCCATCATCCTGGAAACTCTCCAACTCATGGAAAGCTTGGTTCTCTTGACCACCACTTGTAACCAAATGATTTATATTGCTTAGATGGGAGAGCAGACTGCCTCCAGTGATAGAAGTGTGGCTCAGTGACTTGGAGTGACCTGGCAACTAAACAGCAGGTAACGTTTTGGAGATGCCACCTCAGACAAATTTAAAAGATTTAGTCTAATTTTTTAGAAAACTTTGATTAATCCCTAGCAGCTGGAAACTGAGCTATTGCTCTCCTTTCCCCTCCCTCTCCTCCTTCCTTCCTTTCCCTCCCTTCCCATTTCTGTATCTTTTTGTTGTAGTAATACTGGTTGCTTTCTCCCCATATTGTGTTAAAGTTTTGTCAATAATATATAAAGTATGCTTGGATCCATAGAGCATTGAGGCTGAAGGGAAAATTACTTAAAATTTTATCTTATGGTTTTGGGATGAAATAATCAAGATATAAGCACTCGACACCTCAAACAAACATACTTTATGCAACTTTTATTATATTACTTTGAAGATATAAAAATATAGTTTGGGGAAAACATGCCTGGGCTTTCATCATTTGTAAACAAATGCCACATGCTGGCAAGCTAGATAGATGCCTTTGTTAAGGTAGTTAATCTAAATCAGTGTTTTTTAAACTTTATTTGTATACAGTATTTTAATGGAGAAAACTAGAGTGATGGACCTGATACATCCCTCACGTAAATCAATCCAAAGGGAGTTTAAATGTTTTTCACAGAAATCAATGAAAGACAAATGTAATAACTTCTGAACTACAATTAACATCCACCAGGATCTCCAAGCAGAACAATATGAATAATCATAACTCAAGAAGTGTCTCCTGGCTCAGAATCTATAAGGAAAGCATGTTTTAGGGAAGAGCAAAAGGTCTGTCCTAAAGAAACTCCTCACCCACAGCTTCAGGTACTTGGAAGACAAAAGAAATGGTATTTATTATCATTTGAGCATCTCTCACCACAGAAAAATTCCTCAAAGGAGTCTGAATAGAAAGAGCTATAGTAGGACTTAAACCTCATTCAGCAATGAACTTAAGCACGTGCTTAAGCAATGTCTATGGATTAATTACACCAGTGGATATACTTAACTCAGAGTCAGAACAAAACTGCAAACTAAATATGCAGTAAAAAGCTATACAAATAAATGACATTTTCTGTTTATATTTCTTTGAAATACAAGTCCATCCCTGTTCAGCAAAATATTTAGACACATGTTTAAGTGTCTTCTGGAACTAGGGATTAAATTCACTGATATTTAATTTCTTTTGTTGAACATTTTTGAATATGTGCTTTATTGGGATCCATCCACCCATGAAAGGGCAGTTTCTTTAAGTCACACATAACGGACTCCCATTTATGAAAATATAGACTTGGTCAGTTTAAATAGTTACCTCATGAAGAGGTGTCCCAAGATACATAGCTAAGAGACTGTAAGGATGTGTATGTACCATTTCTTCATATTCATTGTAGGAAGCCAGGCAAGACAGGCTGGAGGAAGATTCTAGAAGCTCTGCTGAGAAATAAAGCAAAAAACAGCATACTTAGGGATACTTCTTTATTTATTCTATTACAGTTCCTTGTTCACCATTAGAAAATTAGTATTCTTTTCCATGGTCACCAACATGGTGTCAGTACTTCTTGAAATATCCATAAAGAATTTTTAAACGAACATAAGCTTTTTACCCCTTTTGAAGGTTTCTTAAAGGAGTAGCAATGTGGCCAAAAGAGCTAATGTGATCCTGGGATGGACAAACAGCGGAACATCGAGTAAGACTAGAGAGGTTATTTTATCTCTGTATTTGGCATGGGTATAACTGCTGCTGGAATACTGCGTCCAGCTCTGGTGCCTTCAATGCAAGAAGGATGTTGGTAAAGTGGAGAGGGTTCAGAGAAGAGCCATGAGAATCCTAAAAGGATTAGAAAACATGCCTTATACTGATAGATGGAGCTCTTTGAGTCTATTTAGCTTAACAAAGAGCGGGTTAAAGGGTGACTTGATTAGTCTATAAATATCTACATGGTAACAAATATTTAAAAATGAGCTCTTTCGTCTAGCAGAGAAAGACTACAATGATTGGAAACTGAAGCTAGACAAATTCAGACTGGAAATAAGGTGTACATTTTAGATAGTTTGGGTAATTAACCATTGGAACCATTTACCAAGGATCATGGTGCAGTCTCCATGCCTGACTATTTGAAAATCAAGATTGGATACATTTTTAAAAGATAAATTCTATGAATTATTTTGAGAAAGTTCTATGGCCTGTTTTATACAGGAGGTCAGAGAGGTGATCACAATGGCCATTCTGGCCTTGGAATCTATGAAAATATTTGATATTCGGTCCCACCCAGAACCGTGCACATAGAGGATGTGAAAAAATAAAAATAATGGAGGGAAATGGTATCTTAACTTTTTTGAACCTCAGAAATGGTTTGCTTCAATTTTGCGGCAAAAGCTGGGTCACTTTTTTTTAATTTCACCAGTGTTCATTGTACTGAGTAAGGACAAAATGTTAAGTTGAATATTCTGTCAAAATATTGCAATCTATATATTCTGCAAGATGGCTGCTCCTACTTTTGGATCTCTGTCACTGGCTGACTGGGTCACAAGATATTATACTAAAACTTGTAATTTTGAGTTTGAACTCAAAATTCTCTCCTTGTTGTCCCTTTTCGGTAGCTGTTTCATTTCAGTCTGAATCACAGAGGCAACACAAATGTTATCTCAGTGATCTTTTTTTTTACTTGCAATATAACATGTTATTCTTTGTATTGCTAATTGAAATTTAAGAAAAGATTTATACAAAGGAATGAAACAATATTAAATGCACAATAAAAATAAAAAAATAAAACGAGAAGCTTGTAAGGTAATCATCAGGACTGACCTATAAAGTAAAAACTATATTTAGGTCCTAATGAAAGGCCTAAGGCAAAGTATATTGAAGTCAGACAGGCCTAAGGTATTTGCTGTTATCTACAAACTCACTCACAAATCCTGTTGATATAGATAAGCATCATAAATGCCTAGATAAATAGCGAGGCAGACAGATTGATTCACAACAGCCATGTGTACGAAATAGGTCTCTTCTTCTGCTGCTGCTGAGAGAAAGATAAGTGGAATTCCTCTACAGGCACACCACTGTAATAACTGCAGATATTCTCACTGCCCTGCCACTTCAGCATCAGTTACATGGAGCTCAGTTATTTCACCATGTTTCTAAGGCGGGGTAGGCAACCTATGGCACGCGTGCCGAAGGCGGCACGTGAGCTGATTTTTAGTGACACTCACACTGCTGGGTCCTGGCCACTGGTCTGGGAGGCTCTGCATTTTAATTTAACTTTAAATTAAGCTTCTTAAACATTCTAAAAACCTTATTTACTTTACATACAACAATAGTTGAGTTATATATTATAGACTTATAGAAAGAGACCTTCAAAAAACATTAAAATGTATTACTGGCACACAAAACCTTAAATTAGAGTGAATAAATGAAGACTCGGCACAGCGCTTCTGAAAGGTTGCCAAACCTGTTCTAAGGTTTCCTTTACAACTTCATGAGCTAAAAACTTCTGTAGCCCATTCAATGAAAGTTCAGATTCTGGAGAAGCTGATGGCACTGACTGTACTCACCTGAGAAAGTTGTCTACTGTATCTTCAACAAATAGCTCTCACAAAATTATTGATATACTGGGCCAGTAAAAAGTTATTTCTAAATCCTCCTGATTACCTTTGAAAAAAACACTTATTTGTATGCTTTCCTCTTTCTGCCAAACCAGGCATTCTGGACAGCTCCTCTAACCCTTTCTTAAGGTAAAATGATATATGCCCTACTAGATTATACTCCTGAGCTACTAATTACAAAGAGCAAATAGGAAAATAGTTTTTGTCCCTACAATGGTCCAAAATCAGAAATTATTGTTGTGGCATTTGATGTAGGGGAGGATTATCTTTTGTACAATACAAATCCTGTGGCAATTTTTTCCTCGCTGTTGGGAAATAATTCAAACAATTCATGCTGAAAGTACCTTATCATATTAAACAAAATAACTGCACCTGTGATGTGTGCATTTGTCCCAATCAGTAATCTATACAAAACCAAATATATTAGCAAAATATTTACTATTATGTTTCTAGTAGTTAGGGTAATATAAATATAAATTTTACACACCACATTATGTTTAAGACTATAACTACTTATAATTACCATAGCAAAATATTAATGTAGTATTTTGCATTTTTTATTTTTGGTTTTGTTTGATATAAAATGATTTTTCTTAGCATTTTTTATTTTGCAGTACAAGGAAACAAGGGTGAATGGAGGAATGCCATTTACTTCATGGCATTATATCACTTTTCCTTTCCCTGCCCCTCAAACATCAAGACACAGATGTCAAACTGTGAAAATCTTTTCCCTCAATGGCATTTACCTCCAGACAAGGCCAGTGCAAGGAAGTTTTGCACCCTAGACGAAACTTCCACCTTACGCCACCACCCCAGCCCAGCGGCAGCTCCCCGCCCCCCCCCCCGCCCTGAGGCGCCCCTCCCCCCCCCGACAGCAGCTCCCCTCCCCAGGGAGCTGTGCGGCAGCTCCCCATCCCAGCTCACCTCTGCTCTGCCTCCACCCCTAGTGTGCGGTCGCCGCTCCACTTCTCCCGCCTCCCAGGCTTGCAGCACCAATCAGC